GTTTTGATACCCCATCAATCACAGTAATTCATTTCTAAAAATGCGTTAACCTTGGAGAGGGCTCCTCGGAGCCATGAATAGCATTGTTTGTCATTCCAGCTTACACCTCATGCTCAAAAAGATAACAGTACGGAACTATTAGGTTCAAAATTGCACCAATTAAAGTCAAAATGGAAATGAACTTAACGTTGTGTCCAGAAAAGTGTGATTCTGATATTATTTTGGGAGTAGAGATCTCTGAAGTTTGGTTTATCGCTAGCAGAATAATGTGCATGGGAACAAAGAAAAGAGGCTGTTTTCTCTGACCCTCTTGTGCTGCACAGCATAAGGCTGAGGCATCATTTAGCCGAGTTAAACAGGATTTTAGGGAAAATGTCTTGAGAGAGACACTGCCCACTTTGAAACGGGGAGCTGCGATGCTTTTCATGTTTTGCCCTATGAAGAGTAAAGGTCATTTTGTCCTCCACTAAGAGCATGGCATGTATTTCCACGCTGGTAACAGTTTTTGATTCTAAATTCAGGAAAGCAGTTTGACACATTTCTGGTTACCAACTCCTCAAAGGGTAGCAAGGAGCTATTGGTAATTTTAAGTTTTTCTTGATGACTATATTGCGAATGTAGAATTTGATAATTAAATCCTTTCTGTTAAAACAATGCCTGTTTCATCTTATTTAGAATGAGTTAAAGGACGTTTCCTGTTTAAAAACACCAGAACTCTAGCTGTGGTTTATTTTCTGTCTGCTTACCTACGCTGGTCTGCTATTGCCATCTACTGGCTGCATGGCATACTGCTTACAGAATGCACAAAAGGGACTTGGCTTGAAAAGCAGATCAAAATGACTGCTCTAAAATCCAATGGCTAAAAAGATAAACAAAACTGGGGGAGTTAGCTGTCTGGGAAGAGCTCGAACAGTTTAGTCAGTGTGGAAATTATTCCAGAAAAAAAAAACAAAACAGTGATACAGAACGAGCCCACAACACAAACAAAAGATAGGAAGTGACATTCAAGTCACAGGTTCATCTTTAAGCCAAGCAAAACTAACAGGCCGGACTTGGCTTCTCTTCCACATCAGCCAAGAAATCCCCCTGCTAAGAATGCCATCTGCAAGGTTTCATTTTGCTTGATGCTCAGCAGCAGGCACAGCACTGACCCACTGCTGCCCTTCCCTCAGCAGATGCAAGAGCCCTGGGTTGGCAGAGAGCTGCACCGACTTCCCAGACAGCTCTCTTCTGTCCTACTCCATTCCTGTGAGTCTCCAGATGGAATTTATTCCCATTGCCAAGACAGAGACCTCAAACAACCTTAATGTCACATTATCAGTATTTTTTTCCTCTGCCTTAATGATGGCCAAAATAGAAGCACAGAAGTGACAACATACAGGCAAAGCTTTAACAGTTCAGACAGGAACACAAACTGAACGATGCTTAGTTAATATACAGAGTTAATGGCACACCTCTAGATTGCAGAAGTGCTCTTAAAAAATAATTTTGGCTCTCGATCGCTACAAAAGACTATTCCTATTGGAAAGCTGTAGGAGAAACCTGATCCTGTAAGCCTTTTGGCACAAACTTAGTGGTAACGTGGTAGTTCTGACACAGACTGAAGGGGACCAAGCCCTGCAGCCTGTATTCCACACTGACCAGAAGTTAATGCTTACAGCAAGAATAGGGTAACTATAGTGATCTTTCTCCCATACGCCCTCCCATCAGAAACAGTGGTTTTCAGGGACTTGTTAACTATATTGCTGTTCTGAAAGCTGGCTTTCCAATTAAAATTTTGCTGGCAAAGCTATGTTGGCTTAAGGGATTTTTTTCCCCAGCTGGCATAGTTATGCTGGCAGAACTTTTAATGATGCATTAATGACTGAACCAAAAAATCTTTTTGCCCATGTAGTTAATTTTGTTTGAGAAATCATCTCCTGTTCCACCAGCAGAGGAACTTTGCTAGGCATGCACAGCACGTTCATCCTGGTAGTGTCCAACCTGACAAATCCTTTCAAATGGGGAAAAGCTCAAAGTCTGGACACATGTGTGAAAAGTTGATGAGACTGCCCTGAGCAGTCACAGATAACTTTTACTGAGTATTACTACATCAACAGGGCAAACATAAACCTGAGCAAAAGGAGCCCATACAATGTACTTGGATGCTGCTGAAGAAAGCAATAGCCAGACTACATGTATGTAAAACACACATGGCTTTACTTTCTCTTCAACAAGCTGGCCACAAACAGATCCTTATGAATATAATTTTCGTATCAGAGGAATATGAACTTAGTTTTCATGTTCGAGTTTTAATTGGTGCATGTGATAAATACTGCTTGAGATCTCTGAGGTGTGTTACTTCTTAATAGAAAGGAAAACAGGCATTATATGTAGCATAGGTAGTAGATATGTAGCATATCAGTGTGAGGACAAATTAAGAGCTAAGTACCACAGATTAGCTATCTCTGTACACAAATAGAGGTATAAAACTCAAAATAATGCTAACACTTGTAACTATTCAGTAATCTATATAAATATATGCACATATTAACACATTTTCACAAACACACAGACACAGATGTGTTACATAATATATAGAACGCCTCTATATATTATATACACAAGCACTCTCTTGAAAAGTTACAATAAACATATAGGCAGGCACAATAAAACAATATTTTTGTAGAAAATATACTTAGTGAAAGTTTTTAGAGCTGAACAGTATGTTGCAGCATCTGTATATGCTTTGAAAATTCTAAATGTACAGCAGGCTTAGTTAATAAGATTTACTTTCATGATATTTGATATTGCACAGTTAAAAGGCAGATTTCCAAATGTAAAGCCCTAATGACATGCATGTCAAATGTGCATTACATACATTTTCAAACAACAGAAACAGCAATTAAAGGTTTTGTTGTTTTGCTTTTGACTAACTAGTTTTATTAGTTTTGCAGAAAATAAATGCAATTTATTCTTATAATCATCTAGCTTTTCTTCACTAACAAAATACTAAAAAGGTCTGCCCTTCCCCATCTCTTCCAAAATTTTAGAAATTAGTTGACACAACCTAATCAAGCCACATTTTGTGTTTGGTAAAAATACTCAAAATATTTCTGCTTTATAGGCCAAGCTGCAGGATTCATCATGCTAGAGGATCATGTTCACCCATAGAGATGATGACTTAAAATAATTTGTTAAATTTCCAAACACTAAAAAAGAAATAAAAGCCATTACAATGTAAATTAGCAAACACTATTTTTCTGATTTATAATGTTTTTCAGTGGAAAGATTCACTACAGTGCGTTTTTCATTACTCAGCTATCAAACTGCTGTAAACAATTCCTTGGCAGAGCAATTGGGGCAAAGAAACAAAATAAAAGACGATTGTGGGGAAGCTAAACAAATAAAGGAGGCGACGAATGGATGAGGACAGAGGCATCATTTCTTGCTTCTAAACTTTGAAGTCATTAGCATGGAGGGTCTGAGCAGTAATTCTCATGGACAAGCGTGCTGGCAGTCCATTTGAAAGGAACAAGGTTTCAGCTAGTCTATACAAAACATACCTGCAGTTCAGATGAGCAATGGGTATGTGATGTTTTAGTTGTGGGACAGCTGTTGCAGTATTATTGCTTAAAAATGAAAATAATAATAATAAAAAAGCTGACTATGTTAGCTGATGACTGAGAAAATCCAAGAAAAGCATGAGGAACAACTTGCTTCCATGCTGAGGAAGTTTAGGGTTGGAAAGAGTAAAGAAAAATATGAGAGAGGCACAGCTTGAAATTTTAAGTACTTATACCAAGCAACTTTGAGAGAGTATCCATTCTGCTGTACAAACAGTTCACACCTGTGAGCCAGATTGCATGCGCTGAACTAAGTTTACTTCATGCTGATTTAACTCACCACTGGAGGGGCTGAGCTGAGAAACATGAAAGTGGAAACGGTACAAGAAAGTGTACATGTGCACTCACACCACCTGCAATTCATGGAAGCTGGGAATGAACACTGAGTAATTTGATATGGGAATGGTTATGCTTAATGTGTCACTTACTTTTAGTGACTGTTTGGAGCATTAACATTGCCATGAGTAATAAAGAAAAGCTTACAAACACAGGCAGATGTATCAAAAATGTAAAAGGATGTGCACTATTTAATGGTATTAGTATGAATAATCTTATAAAACACTGAATATATTCTGTGTGCGTGTATCTCTAATGCACATGTTTATCTCTAGACAAAAAATACAAACATATGTGATGTATGCTATGCTGAGGATGCCATCAAAACTTCAGTAAAGCTGGGCAAAAGTTTGGTCAAGCTTAGCTTCAGAAGCTCCAACACATTATAACCTGGAACATCCAAACTGCAGCTGCAGTGTTTGACAGAAGGCAACAAGGAGCTCTATTAACTCTCTATCCAATTATGTCCTTCTGTCTGGAGGGAAGCAGCCTGCAATCTGCATGTAGTTTTGGCATGTAACAGTGCTGTGTTGATGCTCAGCTAAATATGAAGTGGCTAGACTAGAATCAACACCAAAGGTAGCATTTTTCAGCAAAAGTGAGTCATTATAGCTCTCTTTGGTGTCTTCAAAGAAGAGAAGCTAAGGCTGCCATATGGGTTCACTGTTACAGTTCTGAAGTAATTTCCATTCATTTTAAAGTGCTGCTGTCCTGCTACAACTTCTGTGCTGCCTCAATCCATGTGATGATTCTGCTGCCAAGTAAAATGCCATGGTCCCATCGTTCAAATATTGAATCTACATGCATCAATGTTAGGTCCAACAACCGTCTGAGAAAATGTGAAAGTGTGCATACTGTTGTATCTCCTAGGGCTATTAAATAACAATGTGACTCACAAGGAGAATCAATGGCAGAATATCAGTCAAATTATGTTTATATTAATTGTTAGAGCTACCTAAAGACCGATCCTCTCTGGTTTCTTTTGGTGGCATGCCCTAAACACACACAGTCTTGAGGGCACATATTTAAGTGTTTCAGCTGTGTATTTCAGATGCTTACTGCTATGACAGAAACTCCAGCTGCTGTGCTGTTCGGTTTAGGGCCTGTGTTGAAATGCTTCTTTATCTTCCCAGCTACTGATAGCTGATGTTCATTCTCTGGAAGGCCATCATCCTGTGAAGAAACAAAGCAAAACAAAACTTCAGAGAGAAAAGGCAAAATAAAGGAATTGTCAGGTGATTCTGACAGCACCTACCAATACAGAAAAGAGATATTATAAAACTATTGAGTCAGTCATTGTCTCAGATCAGTGCGAAGTATTTATAGAATGAATATCCTATTACATAACAAACCAGCCTGTCTCTTCTTTACAAAATATCTTTCTCACAAGCTTTAGGTTAATTTAATTAATAATGATCATTAAATATTTTATTATTCTTTCTACTAGATATTGACTACCTCTGACTGGTTACTTGTAGGCACATAAATACCTCAAAGCATGATAAGCTCAGGCCTGTTCATTCTTCTGTTTACTCTTCAAATGTGTTTAAAGATAGTGAGCTCAAACACAGAAAGAACCCAAGAGATTACAGAAACCAGAAATTTCTGGCTTGGTGGGACACAAAGAAAGATTTCCAAATGCCCTGTGAAACATCAAGCTCAGAAGTGTCGTGTTTTGACTTAAATCCTATCTTTTGATATATGAAAAGAAGAAAAAAATTCTGTAACAATGTGAAGGGAAGATTTTAAATCTTGAGAGAGTTTGATACCAGCACGCACTGGGGATTTATCAAAATCTAGCCTGAGACGAGGAACATTAGGAAAAATTTCTCTCAGAAAGAGTGGTGAGGAATTGGAACAGACTGCACAGGGATGATGGAGTTATTGGTCCTGGAAGACTTCAAGAAACGTGGGGATGTGGCACTGAGGGACATGGTTAGTGGGCAATACTGGTGGAGGTGGACAGTTGGTATAGGTGATCTTAGAGGTCTTTTCCAACCTTAATCACTCTGTGATTCTATGATTTCCAGAAGCCCTGTGAAATGCCAAGTTCAGAAGTGTTTTGACTAAATTCCACCTTTTAATACAAGAAAAAAGGAAGATTTACTGTAGCAATGTGAGGGGAAGACTTTAAATCTCGAGAAAGTTTGATACAAGCACGGATCAGTTATTTGTCAAAATCTAGCCTGAGACAAGGCACCTTCTAAGCTCTGCCTATGACATCCCCAGCCAGCCATAATCTAAGTGCGTATGGGAATTATTTTAGCAGTCATCAAGGTGACATACTGAAGGACTGTGGGGTTGGGTGAGAGCTCCAGCTGTGGCTCAGTGAGCCCCAGAGAGAGGCAATGCAGACAGAGTAGAAACTGAGACATGCCCTAGCCCAGGCCTGTGGTGCGGGTGAGGACAGGCCTTCATGAACATCAGGATGTACCACTGAGGTACGACCCACACCATGGGTTGGTTTAGTTCATCTAGTATGCATCTTCCTGCACACGCAGAAAAGCAGGAGAGGGCTGAAGCCAGCTGTGCGGGCCTTTTTTTCCTTGCCAAAACATACATTTGATCAACTTGAGCAAAACTGAGGGAAGAGTGAGCACAGGGCTACAGGGCCAAGAGGAGGCCGCCATGTTCTGCTGCCGTGTGCATCAGCTGTGTGAGGGACCCAGCCCAGAAGCTGTGCAGCCTGCTCCCAGACAACAGCTGACAGCTTCTGCTCCTTCTATACCCATCTGCTGTCCTCCACATGGAAGCACAACCCTAGAAAAAAGAAAGGAGTCTGCAGTTTGCCCAAGTCAGCAGGCTGAACTGAAGCCCAAAATAAAAAAGGAGCTTTTTAGAAATGGCAGATGAGGCCTGTGTGACTGATTGAGCAGGGAAGAGTGAACCAGCAGGAGTGGCAGCTGAAAAAGCCATGGCTGATGAGATTTCCCTGCTAGCAGAATAAGAAGGATATGCAGAATATGCAGAACATCAGGTGTCTGGTCATCCATGGATCTGATATCCATCCACTACTGCTTCATATACGCAGCTATCAGCAGCTGAGAAATTCTTCAAAGTCCACCTTCTACCAAGGTACATAAAAATGAGAGACAAGATTAGAATACAGAGAGATTTCAGACTTCTTTTTTCTGGCTTTACAACGACTCTGAGTGCTGTTAAAGAGTTACACAATCACTGCAGTAAATCACGATCCCTGTGAGCATATGGGAACTTTAGGGAGGTTGATTTGCGTTTGTAATTTATTTAGTTTGGGGAGTTTGTGTTTAGAGATCCCTCACTCACCCCTTAACAAAATGTTTCAGCTGGCAAAATACGGTCAAGTGCACACAGCTGCAAAACAAAACAATGCAACCCAGTAGCTGATAATTGTCCAGCACTGGGGAGTCTTGGCTTGGTGCACATGACCCCTAAAAATAACCTGCTTTCCGCCGACCTTGCCTTTCCCAGAAGAAAGCCTATAAAGTGATCTCTTTTACACCAGAGGGAAAAGAAAAAATCATTCTCTTGGCTTTCTGGACAATGAAAGCCTGCCAAGGTTTCATGTTGTCTTGTCAAAAGGCTAAATTACAGAGAAGACAACAGTTATCAAAACTGGGGTAATATTTTACTTGTGAAGCACCACACCCACTGTTCCAGTGGCAATGAATCAGAGATACATACTCTGGGATCCAGTTTTCAGAAGAAAACTTTAGCTCAGTTTAAGAGGTAGTATAGGTATGCACAGGAATTATTCTACCATTATCAAATTGTTCAGTTAATGCTGGTGCTACCCAATGTCTACCAGAGATCTTTTTTTATTCCAAAACACTTTATAAATAAGCTAATATAGATTAGCTGGCTCCTGGAGTCACTTCGGCCAGCAATAATATAATGGACAGACAGCGAGTGTGAGAGATGACAGCTGTTTGCATTAAAAAAAAAAAAAAAAAAAAAAAGGTGCTCTGCAGTTTTAAAAGGCAGGAAGTAAGAAAAAGCAACAAAACAACACATCAGATTCAGAAAATCAGCAGAGTGAGTTGTAGAACTAGAGAACAGGCTAAACATTCCTGACAAGAATTTCATCAGGTTGCTGTGATGGGAAGGATGCCAGCCCCCAAGGAGGGTAGCAGTGCTCCTTCCCCTGTTTTAACCTCCAGCTACATGAACTACTTCTTGTAGCGGATTAGGACCACAGAATTTCATCTTATCTGTAGCAGTCAGGACAAGAGCTTTTAAAGATGACTTGTGATTTTTGGTGCTCAGTTCTGGGAACTTCAAAGCATCGTGAATTTTTGAGAACGCAGAACTGCTGATGCTCTGAAAGAAGTGCTGTCCTGAGAAGCTGAGCAGCCGAAATCCTCTGGCAGCTTCTAAAGTCTGGTCCAGAATTTGAGTTTTCACCTTCACTCTTAACTGCCTGGGTTTTTCAGATTATTTTCTTCATCAGGCTCCGCAAAATCTCTATTTACAAGAATTAAAAAAGTAAATTAAAAAACCCAAATGGATGATTATTAGCATCATTTGAGTAATTAACAAACACTCTTACCGTATTTGCACTGTTTTATATGCAGGAGACGTTGTCACCAAAAGAAAAAAAAAAAAGACTGAACAATGTTCAGGACTCCCAATGCCCTGACACACTCAGATGCATTTCTCAAGCTGGTCACCTCTTTCCAGGTCTGAATGCATCAGATGAAGAGGTCATTATATAAATAAAAGCAGAAAAGCAGAGCAAATAAAAGTCTAGGAAAAGCTTTTTGACTCTGTTTCCTTCAAGGATTGAAAGGAGAATTTTCTCTGGGCAGTGCCCTAGGATGTGACCAAACGGTACTGCAGCTGCTGAATAAGAAATAACATTTTAAACAAAATTTCTTACAAATGTTAAGTTTGTTACTATTTACTGCTTGGTTATTCATTTCTTTTACATTGAAATCTCTAAGGCAGACATGGTTAAGACATACAAAGGCTACAGTTTCCCTAATTCTTTTCAGGCTAGCGTGTGCCATCTTCCTCCTCCAGTAACAGCACAGCACATTTTATATTGATTATTTTAACAGAGAAGGGCTTACAGAATTCAATCTGTGCCTTTCAGTATTCAGTGCTCAAACCATACAAAATAAATTAGAAAATATTTAGACATCAAAAACAGAGTAGATTTGTCCCATAACTTGCCACTGGTATACTGCAGGTTATTTGGTGTTACCAATGTTTAAAACGGCAGATCTCAAGCTTCCAGCCACCCTTACAATTCTTAGGTTTTGCACAGAATTCCATCAGGTAAAAGAAAGAGCTGGGGTCCCAGTATGGGAAGTATAAACTGATGGATTTGTTTCCAGGTCCAAGTGTACTGCATTTGAGAGACAAATTCAAACAAACTAAATCAAGGGGGCAAAGAACTGCTGCTGAATTGCATTTTGAATTCAAGATCTCCATCTGTGGCGGTGGCAAGGAGCCAACATCTTTTCAGGTTTTGTTTTTTTGAATTGAAAACAGCTGGGATATTATTGACATAGGAACTGCTTAGCTGGCCTGACTCTGACCATAAAAAGTTTTGCAGTTTCCAAGAGGATTCCAGCTATTTTTATAGTAAAAACTGAAACTGAAATGAGTGTTGGCTCCTATTGAAACTGTCAAAGTACATTCCAGGAATCTCAGCAATTTACCAAGTAATCACATAGTAAGCAGCTATAAAGTGGAACGGTTATTTACAATCTACAAAATGCTTTTATACGGTGTAAGCAGTTAGAACACTTCTATCAAAGGTTTGATCAAAGAGAGAAAATGTTTCTTGGAATTGTCAAAGAAAACATATGCCTGCTTTTCAATCCAGTTGCCCTATCCAGTGCTTTATTTTCAACTTTACCTCTGCATGAAGAGAACAGAAATAAGAAAAGGAAAAATAAAGCCCTTAAAGAACCATTTCAACAGGTTAATTGGGGAAGTTTTGTGTGTTAGATGGAAACTCCAGGTGCCTTTTGCCCTCTGGAAAGGAGACAATATTCTAGGAATGTTGCAAAAAATTGTCCAGGTAATTAGGAACATTCATCACAGGGAGGCTGTGTGATGCCCACAACTGGCCAAGCGATGGTATTGGAATGAGAGGCTGGATGTGACACCAGTGTATCCTTCTGCTTCTGCATGCAACACCAGTGTATCTTTCTGCTTCTACATGCAAGGAGACTTTCCTTGCCACATACTTCTCAGACCCACTTGAGGGAAGTGTCCTTTTTCATAAAAGCATTTAAGCACCTGTTTCAACTCAACCATGTTCTTAATTCTCCTGAAGTGAACTAGGACTTTAATGCCATCTATGTAGTTAATTTTATTCCTAACACTAAGCATTTCCATGTGGCATGCACTGAAATAGGAGCAACCTTCGGAATGTGCTCAAACACTTTCCAGAACTGGTCCCAGTGCTAGCCCTTTTCCTTCCAGAAAAATATATCTGCAGAATACATACGAGAATTCAAAAGAAGTTTTGATCTGTGTCACCGGCTATCACGAGTGTATTGCTGAAGACAAAATACTGACTCATCTCAGTTCCTAAGAGCAACACTTGGATAGAAGAGACCTCTTGTAAGTTGGACAGAACTATCCTAGAATACCTGCTTCAGTTACTGGTGGACGGAACTGCTACAGGTTTTGATTGTAAAGAATTACAATCAGCATAAAACTACAAGATGTGCAGCAGAGCAAAACCAAAGGTGATTGAGACTATCCAGCTTCCAGTTCTACTTGCCTTCCTTATACATAGTATTTCATGATTAGTGCACCAAAATCACTGTCCACAAAAAAACACAGTTAAGGAAGGCAAGTAGAACTTGAATTTTCCTTGGTATATCTTTCAGTTTCTGCCAACCAAGTACTTAAGAGCTTTGTGAGCCAGAAATTTTATCCAGACCGCAGCATTTAACAAGCACCAATGGGATCACCTTCCAAAAATGTATCAACCTCTCTTTTGAATCCATTTATACTTGGTCTCCAAGGCACCCTCTGGCAAAGGGATCCACATGTAACTCATTGCACAGAAACCCAGGAATTCATCAGGGTGATTTGGCAGTGAGAACATGGGGTTGGCTACAGGAGCTCTGCAGTTCTGGAAGACTTCAGCCACTTGTTCCTTACCCTTCTTCCCAGTCCCCCTTGCAGGAACCATTAGCAAGCACAGGGAGCACACCATCATCTGCACACCACAGTCACAAAAAATGGCACTTCATCGTAATGCATCTTGCTGAAATCACTTCCTAAGATACACTGTTGTGTAACTGAAGCAAAAACAAAAACAAAAACAAGAAAAGGCATCTGGAGAGAGCATAAAGCTCACAAAAAGAAAAATTGGTAGCCAGATCCCCATGTTGAATAAACAAAAGACTTTTCAATAGCCTAAGCAGAACTATGCAGCCTGACACAGCGGGTGACCTGGCCTCTCTGCAGCTTCTGACCAGACATCTCCCGTCTCTTCCTGAACAGCAAGATAGAAATCGCCATCCACCCTTCTCCCATGGAGATAAAGAGAAACTTCAGTTACCAAAAGTCATTATAAACTGTGACAGAACACCATGTCCAAGGACAGTACTTGACACGAAGGAAACTTAATATTTCAGCTGCTTGAATGTGATCTTCAAAATGAAAAGATTTTCATCACACACTATCCTAGATCCTTCTGCTCTTTGTATGCAGCAAAAGTGGTCTGCCAGATAATATCATTTATAATAAAAGTCATTTTAAATGGTTTGGTCAAGAAGGTAGCCTCCAGGACTAACGAATATAAACACTTCAGTGACCTATTGCAGGCTACGTGGAGGACACTTCTCAAGAAAAAAGATTAGCCTCTGAGGTTACTGTATCTTTGAATTATTACAATAATCTTTCATTGCAATAAATTGTTTGGATACAGCAGCTCAGGGAATCTGTTAACTGAAGGACAAAATATTATTCTAGTGAGAACTGCACACTCCAACTTTAAGAAAGGAAAATGAAACACTATTTCTTCCTCTTTTTTTTTTTTTTCCTCTCTCAGTCCCAATTGTATTTCTTCCTTCTTCAATCTTCTTTCCTGAATTTGAATCTGGACTTTCTCCAATTTTTATTTTTCTTCTCAACCAAATATTTTAAGACATATTAAATAGTCTGAAACAATTAACAAATATTTAGTAGGGTCCCTGTCTCAACATGAATTAGAGACAAATCTCTTTATTCTCTGCCAGATTTATCCATATGCCACTTCACTGATTACCGCTTTTATGGCAAATGTCCAGTCACTGAGAGATAAGCCAGGATGCATAAATAGCTATTTCATGGTAACTCAGATTAAATGGATATGGCTGCACATAAATACGTGTATATTTCAATGTCAGAAGTTAAACACGATGCTAAAGGTTTCCCTGTTTCATGGTGGATCAAGTAGGCTTAACACCATTGACTATGTTTCAATAGCTCTTAATCACGACTGTCAGATTTTTGAGTCCATTTCATTTCAGGAAAGCAAAATGTGCCACTGAACCCACAATCTGATTGTTAGAGGTGTAAATTTGTCAAGTGTGGTTGAGATATGCTGAAAACCTGACCCGAAATATTTCAGAGAAGAGGGAGCTGAGCATGCATAGAACAGTGAATACTCCATGATCCACGATATACTACGGCAGCTTGCAACCTAGCTTATTTCCAGTTAAATCTGTGTTATTTTTTGGAACATGATGGCTCCAAAAGGGCATAGAAAGGATGTGACAAAGAGGAGCTCAAAGGTGAAAAATTACAGACAGCATCTATAAGCCTGAAAAATACTTACATTAACCCATGGATGTTCAAGAACTTGCAAGGCTGAGAATCGCAGATCTACATCTACTTGAAGCATCATTGTGATAAGCTCCTGAGAAATGGAACACTGGGTCACACACAGTTTTTGAAGAACAAAGCAACGGATTTAATTCACTAAAGTACTCTTCAGATGATTATAGAAGAGTGCTCAAAGACGGAATGAAATACCAACTTCAGAAATGTATTAACATTATTAAAGTATCAACTATGAACTTCTGAACTTCAAGCTGAACTTTTAAATGAGTATCTAACAGTACCTTGAAAAGCAAGAAGAAAGTTCTGAGTTACAGTTCTGTAGCCACTGTATAAAAGAAAAGCATTTAATACATAATATACAAAACAGATGGTTGCATGAAATTAGGTTAGCTTCCCATTAAGAAAATGTCAATTCCTCTGTAGGAAAAAAAGCCAGCAGATTTAGAATTTTAAGATCTTGAAGAAATGACATAGAAGATATTTAATATAACACTCTAATACATTATTTTTTAAGGTTCTGATTTCCTCAGCAATTACCTAGCTTTCAACTAGCATGCAAATGAACACACAATTCCAACACTGAATGGAGTGCACAGAAAATAGGACTGCAGCATAACTGCAAACAAAGGGTTATCACCAAAGACCAAAATGAATAATTCTTAGCAACAAGGAGAAGAAGTTAAATGAATAGATTAATGTTTCAAAATAGAAAATTTAGTATGAGCTATTTGGAAAAGTTTCAAAGGAAAACACTGTTGGCAAAAGACTTGCAGAGTTCTTGTTATTGATGGCTGGGTGGATACAGTCCTGGGCAACCACCCTGCTCTGCTTGTCCCTGCTTGAGTAGAGGTTGGGCCAGGTGACCTCCAAAGGTCCTTCCCATTCTTCAGATATGCAATAAAGGCTGCTACAAAACAATTACATGGACTAGCTAGGGGACTCCAACTCTATGACTGAATTTCATTTGTGAAATTTATTAATTAACAAACTAGAATACCAGTCTGATCACCATGCACACATCTGCAAAAGCAAGATGTTACCAGCACCAAAGAATTGAGATTCAGAACTTAGAATACTACTTCATTACTTACATTCACTTCCAAATTTCAAAATGTTTTGCAATTAAACACGCTGAAAGAAATAGGAAGACATTTTTTTTCTGGATTTGTCTTACAGACTTTAGAAGCAAACTTGCAGAACACTCACATATTAGGGAAACTGAGCAGTTAACTACATGTTGACATTGCAGGACCACCTAAACTAACAGACAGTGATCAAATGACGATTCATACTTGGTAACACAGAAGAATTTACACATGTAGCAGGAGATGTATAAGAGATGTCAAATACAGCACTTTGAAAGGACAGCAGTCATTATTATCTCAGCCACTGGGAAAAATACTGGAGAAGTACCATTAGCTACACAAACCTACCTTTGCAGAGTCAGAAACATTGTCCCAATATGGAGATGGAAAATCCACCTGTCCCATCAAAATCTGATCAAAAAGTACTTCTTGGTCATCTCCACTTCTGTAAAATAAAAAACAAAAACAACAAAACCCACAAAGGCATTATTTCCAGAGCTGGTTATAAGAAGGTTCTTGAAATTGCTTTTAATTGGAGATTCCTTAGCATGCTTTAGGAAACTGTTTATTCTTCCTAAGCATGCAGACACAGATGTGAATGCTGAGGTCAATAAAACAATGCTCATTTGGCACTTTCTTTCTGAGGTAACCTGCTTGTCTTTAGGACGGTCAACCACTTTGCAATTGCTCTGAGGGAGAGAAAAAATCTGACATGCCATTAAGTGGTTTACATTTTATCAATCTTTTACAAATCACAAAATAAGTTGCACTTTGTCCATGAAAGATTTTTATTTCACTATGTATTTTAAACATCAGGCAAAGACACCCAGAACCCATAATGGAGGATCTTGCTTTGTAACCTAATTAAGTTTAAACTAAAATAAGCAAACACAAGACAGAGTGAAATCACAAACATTTATGGGATTTCTGAAAATCACTATGCACAGCATGGGAAAAACCAAACCCTACAAGCACAAAACTTGTTTAATGCAGAAGCAGCACAGGGACCAATTCACAGAGCAAGGATGGTTGAAGAGATCATTCCATACCCACGGAATGGAGGGAAACCACAGAGCAGGATGTAAGTAATCACGCCCGCTGCCCAGATGTCCACCTTCAAGCCATACCTATAAGTGTGAGAGATATGGTTAGAGAAATCTAATGTCCAGGAACTACAGTACAAGAACAGAGAAAACATTTTCAGAATCATTTTAAACTGAGATGGGAGTTTAGGTTAGATATTAAGAGGAAGTTTTTCACACAGAGGGTGGTGACGCACTGGAACAGGTTGCCCAAGGAGGTTGTGGATGCCCCATCCCTGGAGGCATTCAAGGCCAGGCTGGATGTGGCTCTGGGCAGCCTGGTCTGGTGCTTGGCGACCCTGCACATAGCAGGGGGGTTGAAACTAAATGATCATTGTGGTCTTTTCAACCCAGGCAATTCTATGATTCTACGGTTCTATGGTTCTAAGGTTCTACGGTTCTACGGTTCTATGATTCTATGAATTGTTAAAAAGTTCTTACATATTTTTATCTGCTCTTTCACTATATTCTATCTACTGACCTATTCTAATTTTGCTTTCATTTCTTTTGTTTTTCATTTACATCTTAAAACTATATCAGATAAGAATTTGTAAATGTCCAGAAGATAATATATTGTTTGCTTAGCTTGACAGTGACCTCTATCAACAGAAAGCCTACAGTGATGAAAAGATGGCCACAGGCTGCTCAAACCAGCAGATATTTATTGATGGAACAAAGAAAAGGACAGTGTTGACAACAAAATAAAATTAAGTAAACACTATCTAGTAATCTCTGGAGATAGCGTCAGAATTAATTTTATGGTACGTGCAATTGGCTAGTTAGTAACTTAATGCTGAGAAGTTTGAGGCTAACTACAAAGCAACCTGCTCTACTTACAAATTCAGCACTGCTTTGAGCTGGTTTTGGCAAGATAGCCTCCAGAGGTCCCTTCTGACTAAACTGTCCTATGCGGTATGATTCAGCATCAAATCCAAGCAAAAGCATCATAGAAATCCTAGCTGCAAGAACTCCAATCTGGCACAATGTCAAGAACGCACTACTGCAAACAGAACAATGAATTCTCGCTAGAATTGATTTACCCAGTTTCAGCAATGATTTCTGGAGCTACATATGTTGGGGTCCCACAGACAGTGTATAGAGGTCCATCCACAATGGTTGCTAGGCCAAAGTCCCCTAACTTCAGGGACTTGCTTCCATCTTGGTGTTCATATACCTAAATCAGGAACAGAATTCAAATGTTTAAAAGAGTTCTACCAAGGGAACTACTGTACGATTTATTAACTGTCTGAAAAATTCCTTTTAATTAATTTGTTCTCTTGCTTGCACGCAACACACACAGCAGCAAGTTTTGAAAATTCAGACAAATAGGACAATTTTCTACGAGTCATTGGGAAAGACTTACCTTGCTACCTAGCTAATAAAGGATGTATTTCCTCTCGCTAAAAACAAAAGTATAAAAGCAAAGGTCTGGCCTTCCAGCAGAAGTGTTCCTAAGTTAACTCCACACTGATAGCCAATTCACAGCGTAGGTATTTTGAGTTCTTGAGTTTTACTTACAAAGAGCTTAAAGGCTCACACAGGGCTTTCACGTTCGTAGATAACACAACAGTGAGCAACAGCACAACTGATAGTAACAACAGATGCTTCTGTGTGTACCTAAGTGACAAATGCACACCCAGCTGGGCTGCTTTACCCAGCAACAGTCCTCTCCTTGTATAACTGCCTAACACCAGTCTCCTACTGGTATGTGTTCCCACCATTATCAATGGACATAGGCTAGGCTGATAATAAGAACACCTAAAGATCCTCCCTTAAAACACACGTGGTCTTTACAGAACATGATATTTGGGGGGTTTCATGGGTGGGAAGGGAGATTAAGAAACAAGAAAAACCAGAAACTTCAGTAAAAAATACACATTTGAAAATCTAGTACAATGCAAAAGAACAGATGCAAAGCTACAAACACTGAATACATGCAGAAAATGCTTAAACCAAAGACTGAAACTAATCTAAATTACACACTGCACTATGAATCTATCTTTAATCCAACTACTACTTTGGGTTCTTGCTGCCTGTTTTGAAATTATCTATGATGCATGTTAATGCTATTTACCATAACAACACCTTAGAAAATGGAAAGGATCTTAGGAGTGCTTCTTAAAGCATAGGTACATCACATTATTATTTTGCAACCCAAATTAAAGCTCCATACAGTCTGGCTTGTCCACAGTGATACAATGAAAACAATCAGCAGGAATGCCTGAGAAAATGAGAATATATCACACTTCATGATCAAAAACAGCATCACCCTTAATACCTATCTCAGTCAGTCCTGCATCAAATACCAAACTTGTCTGCAAGTTTTTGCAGAGCAAAATTTTCTTAAATAATTTAGTGCTTTCTGCAATGGACCCCTGAATGGTTCACTTAGTGCAAAAATGAAATACTTGGCTATATTATAGAATAAAATAAAATCCCATAGCCAAGCATCTCCTTTGTTATTGTTTGTCATTTGGGGGTTTGAGTGGAACCCCACCTCTGTCTTGAATCACCACTACCATATGATACAGTCACAAGCTGACATTCAGAAGACACAGAATTCTTTTTCTTTTTTTATGTAATTTTCAACAATAAAACTGGATCTTTAAAAGGATCAACATTTTGATATAGATTCATATTTCTCTGCTGCTAAACCAGAAGAAAGATGGGCTTAGAGAAAAGCACTGGAAAAAAAAAAGCAATTATGGTTTTATTAAAAACACAGATTGTTAAATACATCTGGTTCCTGAAACTAAAGAAAGTGCTCCTTGAAATGGCTGTAATAAATCTAATTTCAACAACAGTTTTAATTAAAGGCTAGAGACTAGAGCTTTAAATATTCACTTGCTGAAAAATGTAAAGTGTTCACTAAGACATTAAGAGCTGAATTCAGTCTAATTAGCATCTCCTATTATATTTCATGCTGCTATAAAGACTCCTCTGAGTTGTGCTGACCTACTCATCATCTGTAAGTTTCCTCCACTAACAGTCTGAACCTTAAATATACCAGAAATTATTTATGGAAAAGGCTTGTTTGGCATTATTTACCAATGGAAGAAGTTTGGTACTGTGCATTTTCTTGTACTTTGCTCCACCTGTTTTCAGGGACTACTTTCCTTGGAAAGCTACTTCACTTGACTTGTAAAACCAAACAAAGTAACTTTTCCTTACCCTGCTATAATTCCATATAAAAAGGATTCCATCTCGAAGCTGTGGTATGTTCCTTGCCAGTCAAGGAACGTGAAAGACAATTTAATGCTTGTGTTATTCAGAACAAACGCTATATATGTTCTACTGCATTTAAATACCAAAGGGCAATTAAAGAAATGGGAATTAGTGCAAATTACCCTCTATGTAGTGCTTTCACTGTTTTAACTAAGCAGTAAAACTGTGTAATTGTACAACACTAATTGAATGCAGCCACACATAATTGTGTGCCACCATATGTATCCTATTACTATAAAGACTGTCAGTATTTTCTAAGCTGCTCTTGTGATCACTGCAGATGGCAACAGTCAGAGAAGTTGTTCTCTAGGGTTTATTATATGGCTATAAAGACATCCCATGACTTGACAAAATAAACGTGCTAAATGGCAGCAATTATGAAAAATGTTCCAATTAAAGCATGGAAGGCACCCTCTAGAGAATAAAAAATGTGCACGTTGGTAAAAAATCACAGATAATCAGCATACCCTAAAATCTTGGACGCTGATTGTTAGGACAGCTTATAAGCGTTTTATAGATTCCAGGAAAATAACTCTAATGGCAGTCTGATGATACAAGAAGTACCCATCCCATTTAGCAGGTAAGAAGGTCGAAGTAGGACCTAAGAAATACATAAGCCCGTGGGCAGTCAATGCCAGAGACAGAGTCAGAACCCAGCTAAGCCTGGTTCAAAAGCTCTCTTCCGAAACAATTCATTTCTTTCAAAGATGTAATAAACCTTAGAAAATTTGTTAGTCAAATGCTGGCTGTTATGGTTATGATGTTGTAAAGAGTGAAGTACTGCATACTCACTGCTCAGTATCAATTGCAATGTAGTACCTCTGCATACATACAACAGAGGAAAAATCACTCATAAGCAATTTGGCTACAGTGCAAAACAACATGATTATCCGTGGTAGTGTGTATTTCCAGAGATGGCTGGGCTGGAAGATTTTATTCTCTCTCTGTTGTCCCCACCTCCTGCCAACTTTCCTCTCATTCCCATAAGTTTCATTCTACTGCTGCCAGGAATTTAGAGACATCTCAAGACAATCCCCTACACCAAGACATTACTGCACATCCCTTGTCAAAGCGTTAATGAATCCTGACGTATGACTGCCATAACCTCTGCATGCAGCCACCTGTGAATACCAAGGGCTGCTAAAGGAATATTGATCACTGGTTTCTAATTAGATTTTTGCACAAGTTTTTAGCAGTTTCTGCAAAATTAGGCCAGACTACTTCCTCAGCCAGAGCTATGGAGGTACTTATTGCTAGAGGAGCCTCAACTATAAGAATCCAATTCCCTGGAATTTTGTCAAGATCTACCTGAATCAGCTTTCCCCTAAAACCTTCTCAGCGTTGAGCAGTACTAAACACATGGCAGACAGCACACAGATGAGAGAACTGACATTCTAGGTCTTGTTAATATTGTTCTATGTTTATAGAAAAATTGGGATATCTTCATACTGGAACATGTCAGCAGTAATTAAGAGAAATTAATTTAATGGAAGAAATGAAATCAGCTTGAGAACACAACTGCTGCATTCAAGAAAACAAAAACCTCAGGAGGACTAAGCATCAGGGCATTGTTTTCACTGTCTTCAGTGGATAGTGCTCATACAGGTTCAGTGAGAAAAAGAAAGATTTAGCCTGCTTGTTTAAAGAAATATCTATAGTGTTCTATAGGATTATTTGGGAGAGAAGGATTTAGAAGTGTCTTCCTGGTTCTGCTCTGACATAGCACATGATTTGGACACAACATTTGTACAGTCTTGGTAAAACTGAGCTGCTGCTAATTGCTTAAGCAGCTGCAGACATACAGAGTAGTCTATCGGGGACACCATTCCTTTGTATTTATGTGAAGTCTGAGATTACACAGCAGCTCACTAAAAGTTCACTTCTAGTGATCACTAAAATCATTCCGTTGCTGTGTCCTGGGGAACAGTCTAGACATACCAGCTGATGTTATGGGCTTTTTTGTGATAGTTGTTAATCTTAGGAGAGCTTTACAATGCTAAGATTAAAACTAAATAACTTAAAAGCCTGAAATAAACTTGGGGCATATCTGGAAGGAGAGAAAAATGCAGACCTTCTCTCACACACTCCAAAGTTATCAACAACACTGAAAGCTGAATTTTCACTCACCAAGAGGTTCTCCGGCTTGATATCCCTGTGAACGATGTTCAGGCTGTGAAGATACTTGATGGCACTGGCCAGATTGTAAAGCATCCCACTGGCATCCCGCTCTGTGTATTTGTTGGTGGAAGTAATAGCATCAAAAAGATCTCCTCCCTGGAGCAAAATGACCACAGCATATAAGTAACATTATTTGTGTAATGACTGAAAAAAAAACTGAGGGAACGTCAGTGAGTATCATTTGTTGAGGAGGAGGAGGAGCAGCTGTTTTCTTGCTTTATGCAATGTAATGACACCTCCCATGGCAGCAGCTGAACGTATTGCTAATTCAGTACCATTTGCCATAACTTAGTTGGACAGCCATGAGGCTGGAGTCTCCACTGCAAACCGTTCTCACCTGCTGATGTTTCTGTAACATGTTCAGTGCTTGCCAACCTTTTTATTCTGGGTCCCTGTTGCAAATTTCTGGCATGGCCTACATACCTGCCTGTCATGATGCTGCATGCCAACTCTTGCCATTTTTATTATAATTACAAACAGGCTGACACCACATTTTTGTATAAAGCCTGACTGAACCCCAGAAAAATGACGAAACTCTCAATAACACTCAGGTCAGCTACCTGCCAATATATATGGCAAAATTATACTGGAAGACATTTTAGGATTAACATCAGTAGTTCACCTTAACTATAAATACAGATGGCAACTTGTACCATTTCCAGGTCAACATGCTGTCTAATTCAGCTGAAAGTTACTGCTGATGAAAAAAAAAAAGAGAAAAAGAAGAAGAAATGAAGGAATATTAAGCAGAAATCCACAAAGCAGGACTTGAGGCAGCCATCGCAGTTGGATTACTCTGCCAGGGCTGAGATGGCAAGCAGGAACAAGAACATATGAGTGTTTGGAGAAAGTCTGAAAAATAATAGTTTAAAGAAGAGATTAAGGTGGAAGTGTGATAGAACAAAAGAAAAAGCAAATATCTTTTGAGAGGTATTACTCATTTTGGCCAAAACCAAAGCAGCACAAAACCAAAGGAGACATGGGCCAACAACAACAGCAACAACAACAACAACAAGAATAGGGAACGGATAATTCTGCAAAAAGAATGCAAAAAATGCTGCTTCAGTCACAACATCAGGAGAAAAATTACACCACAAAAAACTGCATTGTGAAGAAATGGAAGGTACTTTCTGAGGGCAATGGAAAAGTCACAGCTTTTGCCAACTCTCATGATTTTATCATCAGCCTTGAGATATTTGGTGGCTTTTTTAAGGCTCAGCTGCAGGTTATTAAAACATTGCTTTCACTCAGAGAAATAAGGAGCAAGGAGAAATGAAAATAATGTTTCCAGAAATCAAGGTTACAAAGAAAAAGGTAGGAAAAAGCAACTACTAAAGGTTTGAACCTGAGAAAACAGCTATTACTTTTAAGTACAACACAAAACAAAACAAAAAATCAGAACTACTGAAAAATCAGCTTTGTTGAGATGCAGCTGAAGACTGCCAGGGTGGGTTTATTCCCACCGTAGATGCCAAACTCCAGCTCTGGAAAGTGCTTGCAGCCAAACACTGTCAAATCTGGACTGCATCAGAACGTCCTGGTCTGGCTGGTGACTGATGAAGATACATCAAGGTACATAGTGTGAAGGAAAAGGAGGAAGAAAAGGCAAGTTAAACCAGATACAAGATTAGAGAGAAAGGCCAAATATTTGGCAAAAGTACAATACACTGGCATTACCTGATCCCTAAGTATTAGATATCAGCATGTGGCAAAATATGTGGGATAAATAATCTATCTTCCCTACGCTCCTTCCTGTGAAGCCCCTGTACCAGCTGCTTTTTAACATGAGGTCGTGGATTAGACAGATCTTTGGTCTTATCTAATACGTTCCAGATGCTCAGGAGAAGTGTCCATAACATCAGCAAAGGATCTGTCTCAAAACAAAGAAAACAGTCTGAGCTGAGATGTGAAGAACAAGAAGGAAAGAAGATGAAACTTAGACAGAGAAGGGAAAATTTCAGCGTGAAGTCAGAAGAAAAAGAACAAATGTTCACGTGCAAGGAAAACTCAAACTCCAGATAAGAGAGGATGCAGAGTACATAGGGAGCCAAGCTAATGTGAAGCAGAATCATTTTCTCCAGCAAGTCATCTACTTAGTGAAGTTTCTCACCAGGTAGTCTGGAAAGAAAAGAGTGTGTATTTAGCCTGTGAGACTCTGCAGTTAAAAGAGAGGTGACATCCTAGAAAGAGTTAACACAGCTGACAGCTGTATCAGGCGGAATGTTTTTCAGACTTCCCCGTCCCTGAAGAGCACTTTACCCTGCAAGGTTCTGCTTAGCTGATTCACACAGCGGGTCCCTATCATTTATTCAGGCACAAGGGGTGAGCTCAGGCTGACATTTCAGTCTTAAATCCTGTGTTCAGGAGTGAAATCAGACCAGCACATCTGAATGCAGTTTTTATCATCTGTGCACATGAGGAAGTATACTTGGAAGTACAGTAACCAATTATTTATTTATTACCTTGTTATGTAAATGATATAATCTATCTCTTTTTTTTTTTCTGCAAAAGTGAAATCATATCCTGGAGCAGTAAAGGAAACTCTGTAATAAATCTTGCTTGTTAAATTGGCCAAACCCCTGTTAGGTTTGAATAACAATTTTGTTTCGCTGTGTAAAGAGGCAGTGTGCCAGAAGCCAGGTCTTTGCTTCGTTTTACAAGCACCATTTGCAATGTGTTTATATTTGTATTTATGAAGTGCTTTTTCTTACACTTTACAAAGCAATGAATGCCCTAACTGCCACGAAGCGAGGGCAGTATTTGCAGCAGTCACTTATGTCAAGCATGTTACTACCAATTAATACAGGGTGGCATTAACTGAAACCGTGCTCTGCAGCATCAAGCAAATCTCCTTGAATGTCTTTCCTGTCTGTGAGTTTGATTTAAACTCAGCTCTTCAAAAGTCAGTCAATAACAGATGGTTAATCAGTTCTAACAGTGCACACTATGAAATGGTAACAGTAAGCAATTGGTGAATTAACAATTAATGTCTTCCCAGAAATTCCTTCCCTGATGCCCATAGAATATAGCAAGGCTTTTTTCCCCAATTAAATATTAAGGAGTAGATGTTTGCTTCATAGAAAGCAAACTTCCCAAGAGTAGGATATTTCTTCTCAATTTCTTCTATTATTCCACATAAAAGTAAAGAACATGAGAACAATGCTCTCTAGGATACACAAACCATATAATGTCTACTAAGCCCTTCTACTGCATAACTAAGACTATAGATATCTTATTATTTTCAGCAATCCTGAAGAGCAAAAAAGAAAGAGTGCAAGAAAACAGATTTTTCCAGAAAATAACTGATAGTTTTCTTTATATAAAATTTTTATGGTAATCATTTTGAGAGTTTTTGGTCTCTTCCTCTCTTACTAAGCTGAGTAGGACTTTGATTAAAAATTCGCTGGAGACTACAGTTTGAACATTTTTCAAGCATGAATAGCACAGCAGGTTGCACCCATAAAACTGGCTATGTGCTTAAGTCTTGGCATGTTAGACAAGGCACAGCTTTTACTTCTTAGCACACCTCATGGGGCCAAGATGAAAGATTGATTGATAGAGACTGAAGCGATGGCTACACTAGATTACAACGTGCAAGAGTACTTGAGGTACCCTCGAAGATGCAAGATGTCTTGAACACTGGTAAAAACACACAGTAGTATAGATCTCAGTGAGCTCACTTACCATAACAAAGAGCAATAATTATGATTAAAATAGTGTTAGATGGTTAATGCCAGCTGTGCTATTTTGCATTGCACTCACAACTGCATTAGAGGGCTGTGCATGTGAAGAAGGTGGGAAAATTCTTCTGGGAATGGCTGCAGAGTGGCTTTCACAGTGTAAGAGTGTAAGGATTTTGCTTTTTTGCTAGGTGTTAACCATTCAAACAGAGACTAAACAGAGACGCTGAGTACCCCATTCATTCCTTGCCACCAGCACATCCCAGTGTGCTTCCTCAGAGCTTGGAGGCAGTTGACAGCAGGGTTAGCTGGGCCGTAAGCTCCCCAGCATCGCTCAACACAAGCAGGCCTCAGGCAGGCTCAAACCTATGAGGACAACATGGCCACCTCCTGAGCACTCAGGAGGGTGGAGTGTAACCAGAGCTTTCTATGGATAACAAGGCTTTCTCAGCCTGTTGCAAAAATAGAGATTATCTGCGGCCATCCACCCATGGCCCTGCCTGATGGCTCCTTGCCTGGCAGCACAGCAGCTTAGCAGAGAGTAGGTAAGTGCAATGCTGCACTGGAAACCTGGCAGTGTCACTGCTGCTGCCAGACAGCACAAGAGAGAAGATACCGAACAAAATATGTTTCATTCTCCTTTCTCTCCTACTCAAGAAGTTCTTAACACTTGGACTTGGGATCATCCTATCAAACCTCGCAGTGAAGGGCCTACATTAAGAGCATCCCTAATCTCCACCTGCAACCAGTGCAAAGCACTGCAGAGAGCAGCCCTCCTTTCCAAAATCTCTCACCGTCTCTGTTAGTGCCCGTTTCTCACCACAGATACAGAGGATGCCTACAGAAGATGATCATGCTTTTAATTCAAATGGAAGTGATCCAGGTCCCAGGGTTCGGAGTACCTGCCTTGCTCTCAAGTGCTGACATCAGGCCTGCACACAAATGCTGCTGCACAGCAAAGGCTTCCTTACTGCAATGCTTTCCTTAAACACTTAAATCAGTAGATTTCCCAGGTGTAGGCCTGAAAGACTGTCCCAGGAGAACTTGCTGATCAAGACACAGGAGAAGTGGATGCTAGAAAGATTTCCTTCTCAAATAGCTGAGGAAGGATTGCTATTTCCATTATGAATGTGAAAAACAGGTGTATTCTGTTAAAATATGTATGGAGGACAACATGTCCTCAGTGATTTTCTGTTCTCATTTGGATAATTTACTCAAAAGTATTTCACCACCTTTTATGCACAGTGACATACTGGTGTATTAGTATCAGAACCAAGAACTAGATTCAGACCTCATACATTGTGTTGTTGACAGTATAGGGGCAAGAGATGACCTGGATGAAGTTTCACAATCTAGTTTGAATAAATAAAATCTGGGACTTACAATGAAGAAATAAATAGGGCTCCAAATATAAAACATTGCATTCACAAAGTTACTTTTTGGAACAGAGCCGTGCTTTAAATAGGTTTTCTCCTTCACTTCCTCCACTTCCTGCAGCTGAATTTTAGGTTATTATCAAGGATAGAAACCTGACAATATGTTAATACAAATCAGTGGAGAAAACAGTCAAGTAATATTGTCTATGTTTAGCATAGGTTCATAAAATTAAACTCTTTTATCAAATAATATTGAATTTTTGATATTTACATCTTATCAGAGTGGGGGTACTTTCACTTCACTTCATGGAAGATGCCTTTTGCTTAGAGGAACTTTTAAAAGAGAATACTTTTGGAGGAGTAAGTAAAACAGATCATTTCCAAAGTACTGTTCATAGGGCATTTCCTAGCACGACAGAAAGGTAGATGTGTACATATTTCAAAGCTGTAAAAAAATTCGACTGAGGGTTACACATCTTTCAGTAGGGCACTGGACGAGACCCATGCATTATAAGCATCATGACACAGTGCTATGATTTTGACTAAGCTTTAGTACGAGTACAATTTCTGAATATGGTTAAGACAATCTTTAGCAAGCAGCTTAACTCCAGAACACTCACCTTTACAAGTTCCATGACAAGGTATAACTCAGTTGGCATGTCCATCTCCTCAATGAGAAGTACAATATTGGGGTGCTTGACTCGTCTTAAAATGGACACCTCATTCTGGATCATGTGCTCCTGCCACACAAAAAAAATTTTCAATGACTACAGATTGGTAGGAGAACTTTTCACTTCCATGTACAGTGGAAAATGCAAAGAGGACTGGGACCTGTGAGGATTCTTCAGGGTTTTTTTAGAACAGTTATTCATAGTGCCTCTGGCAAAACAGAAGAAACTAGTCTAGAAACATCATCAGTGTGACAACTGAAAAAAAGAACTAAGAATACAGAAAACAAAACACAAGAAAAGGCATTTCTGACATTAAAAAAAAAAGGAAGTATGGAAGCTTTTAAATCTTCTTCTCCAATGCAAAAGTATTCTGCTTAGTAATATGATTGCATTTTTTCACATAATTTTTTGTTATAAAAGTTTAAAATGTAACAAATTCATTTTCATAAAGCTGACATCATTTTGATTAGCCTGGTGATACTGACTGGTATTTTTACAATCAGTATTATTATTCTGCTGTTTTCTGTAGTATCTGGATTAAGAAAGGTAGCAGACATAATTATAGAGGTCAAGAGCAAGAGGAGTGAGTGTACCCACATACAACCAATCAAATGAAATCAACACATGCATTTTGAAAGGCACCTTCAAGTCTTTTATACTGATACTCCAAGGGTCTGTAGATGGCTGGCTGGCAAAGGATTGAACCAAGAAGATTGTAACTCTTGCCAGGAAGAAGATAAATATGAACAGCTTCCCAAACCAATCTCTCATAAAATGTTGACAGCAGGACAAGGGGAAATGGTTTTAAGCTGAGGGAAGGGAGATATAGGTTGGATGTCAGGGGGAAATTCTTTACGGAGAGAGTGGTGAGGTACTGGAACAGGCTGCCCAGGGAGGTTGTGGATGCCCCGTCCCTGGAGGTGTTCAAAGCCAGATTGGATGGGGCCCTGGGCAGTCTGGTCTAGCATTAGGTGGAATGGTGGTGGCCCTGCATGTGGCAGGGGGGTTGGAGATTCATGATCCTTGAGGTCCCTTCCAACCCTGGCAATTCTGTGATTCTGTGATTCTGTGTTCCTTGAAAAAAAAAAAAAGTTTTGGTCTCATTCAAAATTTCATACTTACTTTTCCTCTACATTTACTTTTTTTGATTATTTTCAGAGCATATTCTCTACCGGTTGATCTGAGGAAAGAGAAAAGAAAAAAAAAAGTTACATTCAATCACTGAATATTTTTCAAAGTCCAGCTTTTATCTGTCATTTTAGCACATTATTAATCACCAGGCCTAGGCTAGAATTTTGTTCAAGTAGTTGTTTTATCAAAAATTGAAGCTCTGATTTGATTTTTTTTGACATTTAGACATTTCAATATTTTGAAGCAAAATCTATTTTTTCATTTTACAGTGGTTTCTGATCTTTCTTCTGCAGTTTTGTATAAAACTTGCTATTATTTAGAGATCTCAATCTTCTCAAAAATGGAAGGTTTGGTTCTCCATTAAACAAAAAATATGAGTGCAGAAAATACTTGATTTTTCACATTGCAAATATGCACTCATAACTGCTAAGACAAAAATCCTTGCAATAATGTATTCAGTAAATATGTTATCTAGCAGAGTTAAATATGATGTTAATGAGACAGAATATGAAAGGTTCTGGTGACAATAAGACATTATAGAGAATTAATTCAGATTAAGATCCAATTTCCTTTTGGGTGGTATTTTTTGGAAACTTCGTAATATTTATCACTATTACATGCATATTTATTATAGAATACCAGCATAGAAAATGAAGCTTATAGACAAGTTCATTGAATCAATTTTGATTTCTTTATCAAGTTATAAACCTAGTACAGGCTGTAAGTTTGAAAACAAGAAGCTCTGTTCACAAGATCCAGTTTTACTATTAGGTTAAATGAAGAATGGGTAGTATGGGAAAAAGCTGTTACTGAAACACTTCTGTAATAAAAATCAAAATGGTTTGCATAAGTCTATTTACATTGCACTTAGGTGCAAAATAAATTTAAAAATGTCCTCCCAAGATTATGAAGTGATATTTATCAGGGAGTATAATGATAAAACAAAGGTTAGTGGCTTTAAACTAAAATAGGGGAGATTTAGATTAGATATTAGGAAGAAATTCTTCACTACAAGGGCGATGAGGCACTGGCACAGATTGTCTAGAGAAGCTGTGAGAAGCTGTGAATGCCTCATCCCTGGAGGTATTCAAGGCCAGGTTGGATGGGACTTTGCAAAATCTTCTCTGGTGGTACTGTCCCTGCCCATGGGAAGGGGAGTGAAATTGGATAATTTGTAAGGTACCTTCCAATCAAAATCATTCCCTGATTCCATGATTTTTCATTCTTCATTTAGGAGAAAAAAAAAAAAAAAAAAAAAAAAAGTTTAAATTGATTCATTAAACTGATATGGAAATTAAATGGAGAATTGACTAGGTATGAAACTGTGCACCTCTTGTCAGGCAGGACAGGCAAAATGAGTCCTGGCTGAAAGTACTGCATTACCAAAATGGGCATTATCATTGCCATATTTGAACATGGAGGTATCTTCTCACGGTGATGTGGGCTCTAAGGGCCATGAAGACAGTAGCAAAGAGCATAAAAAACCAAACGTAATGTAGCTAGATATTCAAGTTTTGAGGTCAGCAGGAGAGTAAAGACAGTCTATAGATTGAGACGTCAATTAAATGACTGCAAAAAGAATCACAGTGGATGCTGCTGTTTAGGACTTGGAAAAGGAATACAACATGGTTTGAGGAAAGAAAAAATTAAAACTTTTGTACTTCCCTACTAGAGGTCTTAATTCCATGTGTTGGTGCTTGGTGGCTACATACAACTCAGAGAAAGGACATGCAGAGCTATCTGCACTATTTCTGGGGAATGAAAGGAGGAGGTAGCAGAAGTAATATTAGAAATTAAGATATCTGCTGTCCAAACTCAGATAAAATACGCTCTCTTTCAGTAGGAGTGTCTTTCGTACTCCTTGATTGCCCTAGGAATGCTTCCTTTCTGTCATGAAAAAGGAAATTGATGGTTTTTGTTGGCCATGAGAGACTACATGTACTCACAAACAGAGAAATATGAGCTAGTGAGGAAATGTCAGAATTTGGAAGTATCTGAAAGTTAAAAATGAACACATATGAAAACACCGCAGGACAAATTGCGCATACGATGGAGCAGATATATAAAGAGCAGTTGACAACTCTGACTGCTCTTTGTTTTAGTAAAAATAAAATTAAAGTGAAGATAATGCAAATCCTTTCCCCTAAAAGCTGCAGAGCCACGGGCCGTCAGCAGCCCAGGAACCTCCATAACTTACAAATCTGCCAAAAAACATGCATGGCAGTGCCAGAAAGCCAAGTGAAATGGGCATATCGTATCACCTCTCACCTATTACTTAAGCTGAACAGTAAAAAACGTGCACATGAAGTACAAAACACATTACCACTGGTTTAGAGTCTGGAAGCACAGCACTAGCACAGTGTGTAGCATTGGGCCTACAGTTCATAGAAAGGCTCTGGGCCACACTCCCCAGTGTTTCGGCCTTTTGCTGAAAGGCTCAAAGTTCACAGAGATTTCCACTGTGCAAGAGGCAAAAATCTATCTTTACAATCATTACTTATTTATTGTGCATTATTGATGACTGTGTATGTGTGTGCACATTCAAGACCATAAAGAATGCATGGAATGGCACGTAGAAATCGACGCAATTAATATTTTGAAGATCATTTTTGGTTTGAACTGTTCACGGCAGGAAGAAAATGCCTTTGAATGCATTTCAAGGTTTGGAGTGGCCAACCAGCTCACACAGCTACAGAGAAGGCATATCCATGTGATCAGTGGAGATGTATAACAAGACTCATTCATACTTGCTTAACACCTCACAGTGCTACTCCTTTGAAGTCTAATGCACACAGGAACTGTACAACAGCAAAAAGTGGAAAAGCCCTCTGTCCCAAGTATCACCCCATCAGTTCTGCTTCTACAAATGATGGGCAAATCAGACTTTGAAGTGAGGCGTTTGTTGCTTAGAAAGACTGTGAAGAATGCTTTTGAAATTGTTTTACATGTATTGACTTTAATTTATTCTCTGAGCCTTGAATTTCACCTTCCACACAAGCAAGAGTATTCTGCTTTAGAAATGAAAACTAACAAATCTATTTTGCTTTGACTTTCAAGCTCTTTCAAAATAGTATCTCTCTGATATATACGCGAACTGTAGAATGGTATGGCTTGGAGACAATAAGAGTATTTATTTGGGAACTGCACTATTTATTTGAGTAATTGGGCTAGTTTAACATACACCCACTAGATACATCATGTTACTGGATACTCCAGGGACTTGGACGATACACAGGAGGACAGGGAACAGCTTGCCTTTTAGCTCTCTAGGACATTATAATTAATGTTATTTTCAACTGTAGTGGGACTTGTGTTTAGTATTGTTCATCTCTTCTCTCAGCTTGAGAAATGGTGAGGCACACTAGGCCATTTGAATTGGCTCTTAGCACGATCACCAGCTGTATCAAACCCACAAAGTACTACTCCATCATGTAAACTCATTCTCTCAGTCAGTACTTTATTTTTATTTTGCCTTTTTCTCTTTTCTTAATGACACATTTTCACCCATGTCTCTTTTTCCATCCATAGGGCTGTACTGTGCTTTCTTACTTTCATACTGTTTTGCCCTGCTTCCCTTGGGTTTCCATGTTCTCCAGTTCAGCCCTCAGACCCTCGAGTTTGATATGAGTAGCTATGGCTTTCTGCACAAGCAGCTCTACAGGATCACATTCTGAAAGAGCTCTGAAGGCCTCACAAGAGCCTTGGCTAGTCCCACAAGCACACTGTGGGATGATACTCTTCCCCTCCCCTGAGAGCTACCTTAACAATCTCCAACTTGCTAGACACTTTCATATACAGACTGGGACCTATCTTTTCCAAGCCAAGGTAATTTATCATCATCTGCCATGAGATCTACCCTTGACTTACTCTCTAGGATTAAAATTATATTTGTGGCAAAAGGTTTTTCTTCTAGCTCAAAGGAGAGGTTACAGACTTCTGTAAGTCTAGGATATAATAATAGAGGACATAAAATTTCATTCATGGAATTTTATTATCAGAACTCAACATCTCTATTGTTCTTTCTTTCATACATTTCCAGCTCCAGTTGTTTTGTGGATGGGTGGGGTTTTTTGTTGTTGTTGTTGTTTCCTTCTCTGCATTCCTACCATCTAACATGAATAATCTTAAAATCACTTCATGTACATCTATTTTCTGGCTTTTTAACCCAAATTGTCTATTTATTTAACAATACCATCAAGAAGCACCTGCAGTTCTGTCTTTTGTTCTCTTCTTTTTTTACATTTGAAATGGTGGTTTGACTCAGTTCAAAGACAGTAGGCAAGATTTATCTGAACAAATTCAGCAGCTGACACCTGAGCCGGTCAACCTGGCCACCTTCAGCAACACAGACATTAGAAGTGACTTGTGACTTCTCTAACTTAGAGTGGATGTTTAAAATTAGTCTAACAGTTTGTCTTCAAGGGCAACTGTTCTCCCCTTTTAACTGAAGAGCACTGAAGAAATTAGATGTTGACCTCACTACAAAACAAGGAGGAGATAGATGCACATTCTATCAAAGAAAGACATGGAAGAGGTTACTCTTCAGCATCAGATGTCAGAGTAGATGATTCTGAAGCCAGCTTTTTGTGCTTTCCATAACCAGTAAACTGCACACAAAGCTTCCTAACATCTTTACAGAATGCTTCTACATGTAAATTTTTCATTGGCCTACCACAAATGGCAAGTTGCAAAAATACTGTGCAAGAAAAGATGTTATTTCAGTGAAGCGGGAAAAATATAACACAAAGAACTGGTAAAATTATGTTGTGTGCAGTAGAAAAAAAAAACACAAAACCCACAAAAATTTGAATTTATAGATTGTCCTTGGACTCACTCTCTTTTCACATGAGAGAGCATTAGTCTAGTTTTTCCATCTGGTATTGAGACATTACCTTATTCCACACGTCCCATATTCTACAAATAAAGACATGATCTAGAAAAGGCATGACATTAATGATTGCTTTTACAGTAATAAGCAAATTATCCTTCTCACCTTTCTATACACTCCTTCACAATAGCAAAATTTCCATCTCCTATAGTCCTTCCAACTTTATATCGTTCTGCTATTGATGCTGGAACCTGGAAACCTTCCTCCAACACTTCTGAAAGAATCATTAGTACATTTTTATTGTTAGTGAAGGAAACACAGATGTTGCACATAACATACGTTTTAAGGCTACGGTTTAGGAGCCTGGAAACCATTCAGAGTCAGTATCTCACTTACTGTACAGCGAAACCATGCTGCTGACATCGTATATACTCAACAGGTTTCACACAGATACAGTAAGGGAAAATAAGACTTCTGGGGGCTCAAACATACCACCATTCCAATGTTACATAGTTTACCGTTCCCTCTGCAACATGCCCCCAGGACAAAACCAAAATTGTATTTTTTTAATTATGAAAAGGCCTCTGTGAACTGCACAAGCGCAGACCAGCCTCCAAAAAGGTTTGGAACTCCTTGACACAGCATGATTAAATATATGTACCAAAGAAGTCCAACACTCAAGCACTTATTTTATTACATCCTGTAAACTGAGACATCCATAAAACTCCTCATGTGCTAAGTGCTAGTTCTTCCCCTCCCCCAATATTAAATATTTAGGTTTTAAACAAATGTTCTCAATAATACTACCTCACATGCAACCTGGGCACCAGATGTTTAGGTAAAATTGCATTACACAGTCCCTGAGCATAAGAAAAGTTTGTAGTTTCATCTGTTCTAGTGCTCATTCATGTACCATTATTTTTAAATGTATTTGAAATAGCGTGTTACAAATACCTAACATGCCTCTAAAAGCTGGCAGTAAATTGCAGCTGATACAAGCTACTATATAAATACCACAACGTACAAAAAAGCAACTCAGAAATGTGACTTGAATTTACACTCCTGAAGCCTTTTAACTGTCTATTTTTCTGTTCTTTGTTCCAGTTTAGTATTAAAAGTGAATGCTATATGGGGGCTGAGTTTGCTCAAACTCACAAGCAGCATGAAGAGTTACTGTCAGACAACAGCATACACACTTGAAAGTGCCTGTGAACTGGCAGTACTAGAACAGCTTGGTCAAAGCTCTAAGGGACTGGCCATTGCTCAGCAAAGGCCCAAGATCACCATATGCTCTTTAGTACAATGACAGATGAGACAAAAGCAAAGTGAAAGAAGCCAGTCAGCACTGTGTCACCTGCAGAACTAGAGTATCCTGTACCAGAAACACCTCTGAACAGGGATGTTCAGATCAAATGTGGTCTGGAGTGAACCTGAACTGCTGTCAAGGCTGACGAGCCTCCTAACTGGGAGTCATCCAACCTGTGATGCTCCCACTTTCTCCAGCAGGAAGGATGACTCATTTCCTACACAGCTGCTGTTATCACTACATTGACTGCTTTGAAATGTCAGCCTTCAAATGTTACCTTCTGCAGGTCCATCATTTTCATCCATAGAGCTGCAAACTTTGGTGGATGCTAATGAGGTAGAGGAGCCACTGTGTTGGGAGCTCTGGAAATGGAGAGACACAAATGAAAACAGGTGATTGTTAAGGAGCACCAATACCCACAGCGTGTCCCAGGTGTTCTGTATGTAAAATATCCATTTACTTTTGCAGAGTGATATGCAGATATTTGTCCAATTTTTCCACTGAAGTTACAACTTTGGTGCCCCATTGAAGTGTGGGCCTCCCTAGTTCATTCTGTGTGGCAATGTTTTTGTGTTGATCGTTACATTCTCCCTACTCCACACACATTTTTTTTGTGGGGAAAACTGAGGAGCTGTGTGCCCTCTACAGGCAGGGAAGTGTTTTATCAGCAATCATTAACCTAGCAGGCACCGAAGGACAAACATCTGTTTCGACTGAAGTTGGCTTTTTGTTACAGGAACAATTTTTCATTTTGCAAATCCCCTTCTGTTGAAGTCCTCTCCATTCATGTTCTAGAAAGGAGAAATCATTACAAAAATTTACGGAGAAAATGAAATATATAATATAATATATATATATAATAATGTTTGATTTTCTGAAAATAAAGTGATCAGATATAGTCATCTTGAGGCATGAATCTACACCTTGGTGTTAAGCCTTTGTACACTGAGTGTCTAAGTTTGCTATACAACTAATGGGGGAAGGAAGGTCTCTTCTGCCTCCAGAAGGTGATCTCGACCCACCAGGCTGGATGACAAAAATACAGCAGGCAGCATCACACGAGGGAAGCTATCTCTGTCCATCGGTTACTACAACATCTAGCTATGTAACTCAGGAAGATTGCTTCATCACATATCTGAATGGATGAAACTACACATAGACTCAAGATGGACTTGATGTCACTCCTAATTTTTATTCTGTGCTGCATAACAATCATAAAAATATAACCACAGTCCTTTAAAGTTAGAGAAAAAAAGAAGCATTTCTTAGGTGCTTGTGTTGCAAATTGAGTTAGAAATATTGTATATATTTGTTATATACATTACATTTGTATGTAATGTATCTCCATTACACAAACTGTAGCCTGTACCACATGCAGAAAACACCACAGAACAGTGTCTAGGTCTGCAAGGTATCTAGATGCCCAAATCAGTGTCAATCCACTTTACAAATGTAACACAGCTCCTTCAGACCCGTCCCATATGCTGTTGCGCAGCACAGCAGACGACTGTGGCAAGAACAGCTAACAGTGCAGCAGCTGAGTAATTCGCAGAGCACGGAGCCAGGGTGAATGAGTTAGCAGTGTTAGAAGCTGGCCAGTGTGCTGAGATCATTTGAAAAGACTTACTTCTAATTTCTCCCGCAGTAGATTAAGGTCAGATGATTTAGACAAAGGCTGGACTCAGCCTATTTTTCACTAAATAATCCTCAGAGCTTGCGCAGCCCATCTACTAAAAGATTCTTGGCCTGTTTTTCTTTTTTTTTTTTTCCTTTTAATCAAGCCCAGCTCGTTCTTTTCATCCATCCAAGCACTTCTTCTGACCTTTGACTAGAATCAAAAATTGCATTAATCACTTTTTGGACTACTTCTGCTTCCTCTTGACAACAGACTGGTTTTATGCAGTTCACTAAGACACAGCAGCCCTGGTCTCATGATTAGGACATGTTTACGTCTGTGATATTCCTGCGTGAAATTCCGCCACACATCTCAGTAACAACTTACCTCTGGTTCATTTTTGAATAAATGAGCAGATGAGGATCAAGGAAACAGGAAAATGCTATGAACTCTCAGAGTTGGAGAAGTCACACTCGAACTTCATTGTTTCTATACACGTAATCACAGAGAATTGTTTACTTTACACTCCTGCTTGTAAAATTAGCAGAAGAAACATGTTTTCTCTACTCATTTTGCTGTTTCAGTTTGCTTTCATAGACCAGACATCCAATTTCTTACTTCTTTTTTCCACTCCACAGCATTTTCCTAAAGGAATTACAATGTTCAGTATTTGTTACACACACAATCAGGAATGAAACTTAACATTTAAAGGGTACCACACAAAAAAGGTCAGTGCCAGATTTTCAACAGATTCTCAAAGCATTCTATTCAGATTCTGCATTTTAAATGTTGAAATTACATTTTCCAGTCCATGTTAGGTTAAGCACTGCTGCCTGTACCCCTCTGCAGCTTTCTTTGGCAATTTGATGTTTCCTTACAGATTCTCATATTCATGTTCTGTTTTATAAGAATGGGAGATGTTAAAACCTGGACATAACTTGGTGGCCATGTTTTCCCAGATCAGGCACCTACAGAGAGCCAGATTTCTATTTGGGGACCTAATTGCTCAAGGATCCTCACACTCTGGTTTAGCTGAGAACTGCACCTCAGTCCTTCTGCAATGAGATTCCTTCTAGCTCCCATTTCAGCGAAGCATTTCAGCAAGTGTTGTGCTTGCAACAAACATTCTTAATGGCCTACACACAAATGAAATAATTAAACACACTTCTAAGTATCTTAGCTATAGCTCCCTAAATACGTGTTTAGCCCACGTTTAGCAAACGTGTTCAAGGAAAATTTAAAGAAAATAAATCATCAATATGAGATCAGTTAAGTACCCCTATTTTATTTTATTTTCTTTAATTATTATTGATGCTAAGTTCGTATCACTCCATTAGTGTGGGTATGCTAAAATGTCAGAACTGAGTGCATACACTCTACCACTGGTCTGCAAACAAAGCACAGAGCACCTTCAGTGGGAGCTGTGTGCAAGCACAAGTGTGTGAGCAGCACAGCCCACCCATAGCAAGAGCACAGCAGCTAAGACAGCAGATAAATATACGCACTGGGTTTCTGAAGCTTCATTTTTAAACAAAGTGAAAAACATAAAGAAAGCATATATTTTATTACCTTTGCTGAACCCCTCCTATTAAAACAACAGATGAAAAGAAAGCATGAACTGTACATTTGCATATACTCAGCAGGTCTACTCAGGGAGCTTTCACAATTAAAAGAGACGTTGAGAGGTATGCATGACACATGAGTATTTTAGTCTTTATTCAGCCCCCTGGAACAACACACAGGCACTTATTTATTTATCTTTACTTAAGCTAGAAGGACATTTCGTTTATTTAGACTTTAATTAGCTCGTTGTTCTCACAAGCTGAAAGCCCTCCGGGTCCAGCAATCCTTGTGGGTCTTGGTGTTCCTTCCAGTTGGCTTGCCAATCGTGCGGCAGTCTGTCGTGTACGCTGCTGCTCTCACAGCTGTGGACCCCATTAGGGATATTACAGATGGGGGGGAAAAAACAAACTCTAGGCAATGGTATAATCTCTTCAACACACATACCTTAATGCAATTAGCTGTTTTAATTTTAAGACATGCTGAGGTGCTTGAAATGTCATCGCTTTGACACAGATTTAAAGGGGTGCATTTGCACAGGTTGCCAGCACATGCTCAGTTTTATGGCACACCTCCATAAAAGTGATGGCATAAAAAAATCAGGTCTTTGGTGTAAGGATTTCAGATCCTATTCGGGTTTATATAACAGATGGCCAACACACCACACATCTCATTGATGTGAATGGAAACATTAGAGCTCTAGAGTTTCATCCATGTCTCACTGGGAGATTTATTTAGCAACTGTTTTGTGAATAGCCTGTATCTCAGTGGAAACTGTGCTAAATCCATGAAAAAAGGCAGTAAAATAAATGTTATTGCAATTTTTCTCTCCCCATACTCACCTTTGTCCTAAATTAATCTCAAAACCACATTTCAACTCAACAGCAGGAATCATTCTTGTGGACTATCAGAATCAGCAATTACAAAAGGAAACTTAAACAAGTATGCCTAAGGAAGTTTAATTATGAAATTCAGATTCCTGAATCTTAAAAACCAAACACCGCATTATATTTTCTAAACCTCTCAAAACCTTTATTAGCACATATGGAGCCTACAAGCTCTCCCAACAATAGATTCCTTTGTATTTTCATGGCACGAAGGAAGCATCTGGATGAAATGTGAGTAACAGAAATTCACACAGGTGTAAAGCTTCGTTTGGAACTCATGCAGAGTTATGCTCTTTTAATAATGAAATTAATGAAGATTAAAATTAGTGAAAAATGTGTACATTCAGGAATGAGGCCCAGGCTAAGGGAATTATTAATGTATTTAAACAGTGCTTCCTAAGTTTTGCCCTATTCCCAAGAAATCTACAGAATTAAAAAAAAAAAAAACCCTGGGAAGAGAAAAAGATATGTGTGTCAGTATGCTTAAGCTGAAAGTTCAAATCAGTAAGGATAAATAAAATCAAAGACAAACAAACAAACAAACAAACAAAAAAAACCCAACAGCTGAGCAACCAAGCTCACCTCTTTTGGAACCCATCCTAGTGTTCAGTCAGGTTATCAATAAACTTTGCAAGGCAGCTGTCATGAATTCCTGACACAGGCAGCTCCTTAGCCTAAGATCATCATGGCTAACAGTAAAATAAAGACAGTAGTACAGAGCAGGTAGGACTTAAGACTCCCCAGATTCCTGTAATATGCAGCTGTGTTAAGCAAAAAGTAATAGAGCAAAACTGTACCTCTCTAGAATACAAAAGGTTAAACAGAGTTAAATTGGTGTAGAAAAACATCCGGATGTAAATTTTGAGAAACAAACTCAGTTTTTTTACTGGTCAATTCAGGGAGAAGCAAAGGGTTACACTGAAACTCTAGCATCTCCCAACTCTACCCAGCAAAAAATGTTTCTGATTTTCCTTTGTTTAATTGCTTACATTTTTTTGGCCAGCCAGTTGAGAGGGGGAAAAAAGTTTTCATATAATCACTGCAGGGCTAGCAAAAAAATACTTCGTGGAGAAACATCAAATCCTCAGTCTTCTTGCTGAAAGATGAGAAGCCAATGGAATTCCATATATAGAAAGAAAAATGACGAAATGGTTTTCTTTGCAAATTTGGATGCTGCACTAAACTGACACACAAGATCCACATTAATCTGTGAACTGCTTCATCTGGAAAGGAACAATTGAAAAATATACGCTAATCTGCTACTTATCCACAGTCCTGCACTGCACTGTTAGTTGATTTA